GGGGAGGGAGAGGGTAGGGGAAAGAATCTCCAGCAGACTTCCTGCAGAGTGCAGAGCCCTGCTCAATCTCATGACCCCAGATCATGACCTGAGCCAAAACCAAGTCAGACTTTTAACTAACTGAGCCACCCAGGTGCCCCTCAGCAAACATTTTTTGAAGGAATTGTCACCCCGTAGGTACCCAAATTGGACTGGCTATCCTCAATTATTGGGGATGGGACTGTGGCAGAATGGCAAAATCAGGGAAAGCTATCCCTGTCCCCTCTGTATCTCCTACACTAGCGATATCCGCAACACACATACAGACCATTTTGTCTTAATGAGATAATTTTGATTTGGTTGTGAAATCTGGAGAGGCGGGAAAATGTTCCCTTCTTTCTTCCTAGAATGTTTGTCTGGTCTAATAACTAAATTGATATAAAATAGATTGCAGGAGAAAAACAAATTTTGTATGTATGGGAGCCCCATAAAAATATGAGGCCCAAAGGGCAGTCAAGTAATTGAAGTTTTATATAACATCCTGAGCTAAGGAAAGAGGTAGAGGTCTGGGGATACAAAGGGAAGGAAGGCCATTCACAAGAGGAGATGTTTGGGAAAAAAAGGTTGTCCTTTTGTGCAGATAAGTTTCTTAGGTAAAAAGGTATCTCTGGTAATAGTGTCCAGGTATAGGCCCCCTTCCAATGTAAATTTAGGCAGTTGAGGGGGGAGGTAAAGAGCTTTTCCTAAATTTGCTGTGTTTTGATTGCTTTTAGTGCAGAAAAATCCTTATGCCAAAGAGACATATTTTGGGGTGGCAGAATCTGCTCCCCTTCCAACCCTTTACCAAATCTCTAGTTATTATATTTTTATTGGCTCATTTCATTGAAGAATTGAATAGTATGGTGGATGGAAATAAATGGAAAGCAGAGGAGTAGGTCAGGTCTCTGTGATTCACAAGCAGTCTTCCTTGCTCCTGTGTCTTAATGAAATCATACATTTAACGGGATAGTCCACTCTGAGTAAGGCTTGCTCAGGAGTGTGTTGGAGGCTGTTTGAAGATTCCAGGAAATTGAAGAGGGATGCGGATGCTGGAGACTTCACTCTTAGCAAGGAACAAAAGCAGTTAAAAGGTGGCCTGGGGAGGGCAGGTAACCTGAAGCTCACTCCTTTAGCCCTGGTGTCTGGGCCCAGCCGGAGCTCCAGGCATCCCACCCAACCCCCTGCCTGGATACACAAAGCAGCCTCCTTCCAGCTTAGGCTATGGTTCATCCCTTCCCCCAAGCCTGCTTTCCCTGAGGTGGGGAGAGTGTTTCCCAGGGCCCATGTGACTTCCACTGGCAAGTGACGATTACAGACGGTTTACCAGTCAGTAAAACTGCCAAAGGCTTTTGTGCTGTAATAATCCTTTTCCTGTTTAAAACTCTGGGGATTTTCTACTCTTGCCAATAGTTTCTCAAGTCAGCAATTATGTTGTGGATTATGTAATGGCTAGGTATTAAAAATAGAAAAGACCAGAGTTTGCATCTATTTTAACTAAATCAAAACAGAGCAGAGGGAGGGGAAAGGAGGAGAGGGAGAGACCAGAGGAGGAGGGAAAAAGAGATTACGTGACAAGAAGCAGCGCGATCCCATCATGTGACTGGGCAATCCAGCCCACAATTTACCGTGCTCCTTTCCTGCCATTCTTGGCCCAAGGGGCTGTACTCCTGTCCTTGGCCTCCTCCAGGGAGAAGACCCTGCGGAGAATTCCTTTATTCCTCAGCTCAGCCTTGGGTGTTTGCCTGCTCTGACAGGCAAAATGACTAAGGGTTGGAGGGAGGGATTGATTTTGATGTGATTAAAAACTATTTGCTATGAAAATGCACTTTTATTATAGATACTCCCAACCCTCCAACTTCCCCACCCTCACTCCTCTTCCCACTGGATTGCCATCCCTAGGCCCTCATCTAGGAATTCCAAGGCTGCCGCCGTTCATTGTTCTAATGTGACTTCTCACTAATCCTCCACCTTCAGCCCGAGTTGAGATCTTTGTGTTTTTCCGGGAACCTACTGAGTAACTTTAAGTGCCCTCTAATGAAATTTTAGGTGCCAGGTGGTCTGGAATAGGGGGGATATTTTTGGAAGGGGGACTTCTTCTAAGGGCCTGACAGATCACATCAAAATATACCAGGCTTCTACTGTGTCACCTCCAAAGTCCCTCACTCCATCCTGCATACAGAGGCAGCTGCAGGGGGAAGTCTTGAGTTAATCACCTCTAGCCCTTGGGCCTACATAGTGCACATGCTGAGCAACCTGATTTAGTAGGTCTCCGGTTGCAGGGGGTGGTGGGTACTTTGAAGAAGCAGCTTACTGTTTCTGAGTATTGAACCCAAATAGGTTTGGTGGGGTTAGGGAGAGAGACCTGGAAGTCTAGACCAGCAATAGAATCAGTAACAGGCAATATTAGAAAGCTGTGTCCCATTGTTACTTCCATCACACTTCTTCCTCAGAGTCTTCCTCTGAACTGGGGTGGAAGAGTGCCAACTGCTCAGAGTAACCCTGGTCCTAGCTTCACCCAGCACTGCCCAGACTAGTGGAAGTACAGTGAAAGGAAGAGAACTCTAATTTGGGGATTATAGGCATAATTTCACTGGATAGGTAGAGGGGGTGGGGACCTTCCTTAGGGCCTTTCAAATCATAATACCAACCTGGACTAGGAAGTGCCTGTGACTTGGCACCTCTTTTCTTACTCTTGTAGGTTTTCAGTTCTCTGTTGGGGATTCCTATCTGCGTTGTCCTCCAGAGGCTGACTTTGGTAAGGACCACCAAACATCTGGTATGGTACAGATTTTAAATTGTTCCAACCCACCCTATTAAATGCACTTGAACATGCCTAGTCAACTGGCCTTGGGCGTGGTCAGTGTCACTGCAGCATCGGTTTTCTGTTTTCTGTTGTCTGACAGGCTGGCTACTGCAGACCCAGGTAGTCAGCAGAAGTTGTAGGTCACAGTGAGTATCTGTCCTCTACAGCCCATCCCACCCCTGAGGCTTTGAGTAAGGTTAGGAGTCCACTGAAGCACCTGCCCTAGGGGCTGTTAGGGGCTAGGGTCAATCGAAGGCTAAAGCATTGCAGGGTCCGCCAAGGAACCTTTTCTGTCTAAACTCAACTTTCTGTTGTGGCCTCCTTCCCACTCCTACTCCCCACGACCTCACAATTTGACCACAGCAATGTTGTATACATTGGTCATTCCCATCCTGAAGATCATCTTTTCTGTCATTATTAAATACATTTAATTGATTTCTACCCCCAACACACACACACACACACACACTGTAGTGGTGGTGCTTCTGGTGTCTGTTGCTTGAGATAATGCTAGTGGTCACAAGCTGGTGTAGACAGAGTAACACATTTTAACAGATTTAACTTTTATTCATCCAACTGACAAATTAGAGACACAGTAGTGCTTATATGTGTTGGACATTCATTTGGGCCACAGACAGTGTAAGGTATAAAGGATAGATCTGTTGCATTAACTCCCAGTAACAGGGCTCAGAGCTAGACAATTACTTCCCTTTACTGCACACACCATCACATTCCTTGGACCCCTTCTCTATCCCATTCCAACATCAGACTCAGAAATGAATTTGGGGATGTTGGGTTGTGATCCCAGGGTCCAGGGATCGAGCCCCATGTCGGGCTCTCTGCTATCTGCTCGATGGGGAGTCTGCTTCTCCCTCTCCCTCTGCCTGCTGCTCCCCCCGGCTTGTGCTCTCTCTCTCTGTCAAATAAAAAATATTTTATTTATTTATTTGAGAGAGAGATAGTGAGAGAGAGCATGAGTGGGAAGGAGAGGGAGAAGCAGACTTCCTGCTGAACAGGGAGCCCAACGCGGGGCCCAATCCCAGGACCCTGGGATCCTGACCTGAGCTGAAGGCAGACACTTAACCGACTGAGCCACCTAGGCACCCCATAAATAAAATCTTAAAAAAAAAAAAAAGGAGTTTGGGGAATGGACCAAGACAGGCTGAGGGTTAGGCTTCAGGCCTCCACATATTTGCTGCAATTCCTGTGGCCAGAAGTACCAGGTGGTGGGCATGGGAAGCGGGCTGGGTGTGGGGAGAGGTGGTGTAGCACCTGATGTGACTCCAGCCACACCTGGAGCTCCTGTGTCTTCCAACAGAAGATGGGGGAGAGGAGGTTGGGAGAGGGAAGAAGAGGAGAAGGAGCGGGGAGGAGGGAAGGAGGAATCAGGTAAGGGAAGAGGGGATTATAGGCTGACACTTTGGGCTAGGCAGAGCCAGATTAACAGAGGCATCTTAGTGCCCACCTGGGACTGACAGGGCAGGTGGAATCTCTTGTTGAAGGTGCTGAATCTTGTGGAAGCAAGCAGGGGATGTCTTGGCAGCCTGGTATAGCCTGGTAATCTGACTTCAGGCCAACCAGGGTTGCCAAACAAGGGGCCGTGCTAACACCTCCTCTGTACTCTCAGCACCCTCTTCCATCCAGGTAGGCCTAGGTTCCAAAGACCCATCTCTTGTGTCACAAAAGATGACCAAGGAAGGAACTCACTAGCACTTACTTCCCTGAGGGGTTTGCATTTAAGAGAGACCCAAAATATTACTTCTACTACTGCTATATAAATTTTACTATAACTATTACTTCTCTAGTCAAGTAATTTGGTAGTTTAAAATTTTTATCAAGGGGCATCTGGGTGGTTCAGTCGGTTAAGCATCTGCCTTCGGCTCAGGTCATGATCCCAGGGTCCTGGGTCTTCAGGGGGGAGTCTGCTTCTCCCTCTCCCGCTGCCCTTCCCTCTGCTCATGCTCTCTCTCTCAAATAAATAAATAAAATCTTAAAAATATATATTTTTTCTCAAAATTTAAAAATTATTAGCATAAAATGTTCATAGTCTTGTTTTTATATCTCTACTGTACTTTATTTTCCCTTTTTCATTCCCAATATTGTATATTTAATGATTCATGCTTTTTTCATGATTAGTTTTGTTAGACTTCTGTTTTGTAAGAACCAGCTTTTGTGTTATGTCTGTTGTTTGTTTCTCTTTTATTTCATTAACTTCTTAATCATTTTTAAAAGATTTATTTATTTATTTTGGGGGGCACGGGGTGGGGGAAGGGGCAAGGGAGAGGGAGAGAGAGAATCCCAACACAAGGCTCAATCTCACAACCCTGAGATCATGACCTGAGCCAAAATCAAGAGTTTGATGCTTAACTGACTGAGCCACCCAGGCACCCCACTTCTTAATCATTTTAAAACCAGTTTTGGAATTGAAAAGCAATACAAAGGGTCACTTTTTCTTACAAACTATTACAAAAAGATCAGTTACCCAAAAGAAGGAACAGAGGTTTAAAAGAAGAAATCTATGTGGCTTATAAACGTAAGAGAAGACTTTACATGTAAAATAATGCATCTTTAATGATGGACCTCTAGGCTTGAGTGGGGAAGAGAGGCATCATAGAGTTAGTGCCCAGTGGAAGGAACCCAATGCTTCTGCCCACCCTCCCCATCTTTTGTTTACTGGTTGGTGTCAGGCAAGATACAGACCTCTGTTTCCTCCCCTGTAAATAGTGACTAATACAGAAAACCCCACCTGCCTTACTTGCTTCATTGGCTGTTGTATCAAATCAGATACTGAATGTGAAGGAGATGACACCTGAACTCCCACTGAGCCCTCTGCCCCCAGTCTGTCTTCTCCCACAGGTGGCAGTAGGAAGGGGGTGTGGAGGAACCCAGCCTACCCTGGCAGGGTTAGTTACCAGGCCGTGGCCCTTAAAGGAACATTATTTTGAAGGGAAGGAAAGGGTCTTATTCTCTGCTTAGCTCACTGTACCTGCTGTCTCATCTCTTCTTCAGCTAAGTTTTATTTTTTATTTTGTTTTATAATTCTGTATTTTACGGAGAAGTGCATGGGAGGGGTGGGTGTGCTAGAAATAAGCTCCTAGAACTGGGAGGCAGGAAAGGGTGGTCTATATTAATGGTTCTCAAGTGTTTTGGTCTCAGGACCCTTTTACACTTTTAAAAATTATTGAGGACTTCAAACACCTTTATTTATGTGGGCTGTAGCTGTAGATATTTACCATAATACAGATATGGAAACAAATATTAGAAAAAGACTTTAAAAGTATTTATTATGTAAAAATAACAGTAATAAGTCCTTTACATGTTCATACTTTTTATAAAAATATATTATCTAAAATGAAAAAATTCAGAGAGTCATGATTTTACAGTTTTGCAAATGTCTTTAGTGACTGGCTTAACAGAAGACAGTTGGGTTCTTGTATCTGCTTCTTTACCAGTCTATCATGATACGTTGCTTTGGTTGGAGTAGATGAATAAAAACCCACTTCCTACAGATTCGTAGCTGAAAAAAGTAGGAGTATTTTTAGTAGCCTTTTCAGATAATTGTGGATATCTTCTTCGATATTTCACCAAAACTGGACAAATGGCAGTTTCTGAAAGGTAGTTGCAATGTGAGATCTGAAACCATGTCATTGAACTTCTCATCCTCAGCTATATTAAACTCCATTGATTTGTCTTGCACTTTGAATGGTTCTTTAGTTCATGCTTGAGACATTATGCATTGGTCATTTGGAAAATAATGGCTCAGTGATTTATGGAGATCTTCCCAATGTAGACACATTTCAATCCATAGTATTACATTCCTAGTATTACCACTGATGTCATCAGCAAAGTCTTTAAGTACCAGGAAGCTGTGAAGCTCATGGTGTGGAGACAAGTTTTTAAAATCCTAATTTTCGGGGCGCCTGGGTGGCTCAGTCGGTTAAGCGGCTGCCTTCGGCTCAGGTCACGATCCCAGGGTCCTGGGATCGAGTCTTGCATCGGGCTCCCTGCTCAGCAGAGAGTCTGCTTCTCCCTTTCCCTCTGCCTGTGGCTCTGCCTACTTGTGCTCTCTCTCTCTGTCAAATAAATAAATAAAAAATATCTTTAAAAAAAATAAAAATAAAATTCTAATTTTCACTTGCCAGATCAAATTTTATCATTGGCAAAAAATACTGTCAGTTTTCCTTGATGTGACAAGCTCACTTCATTAATTTTTGAGAAAATGACTGCCAAAGGCCCACATCTGAGTAATCATAATTTGTCAGTCATTCTTTCCTTTTTTTTGGGGGGGGGTCATTTTTCTAATAAAAATGTTTCATGAAAAAAGGAGGTGGTTCATTTCTCAAAGCAAACAATCACATAAATTTATCTAGTACTTTGGTATGTAGCAGAAGTGCTTTATGCACAGACTATTAACAAAATGTACTCACGGTAATTTTTTTTTTTTTTAAGATTTTATTTTTAAGTAATCTCTACACGCAACACAGGGCTCAATTTCACAACCCTGAGATCACGAGTCACAGGCCAGCCAGGCACCCCAAGGGTCATGTTAAAAAATCAGTAATTATTGTTCTATCATGGGCATTCTTATGAGAAGCTAGCCTTTTTTTAAACCAAAGTGCCTGGGGAGCAGAATATGACTTCACTGATTTGTGCTAAGTCCCCAGCAGTTTTATCAACTGTTGCTTTTGTATTATCAGTTCAAATGTCAACTAAGTGAGTACTGCAAAAAAGTCTTGGTATTTTTCTTTAAGATTTTATTTATTTATTTGAGAGAGAGCACATGAGAGGGGGAGAGTCAGAGGGAGAAGCAGACTCCCTGCTGAGCAGGGAGCTCTATGCGGGACTCGATCCCAGGACTCCAGGATCATGACCTGAGCCAAAGGCAGTCGCTTAACCAACTGAGCCACCCAGGCACCCCAAGTCTTGGTATTATTATAAAAATGTTCTTTGCC